CCACAACTACTGAGCCTGCGCTCTAGAGCCCGCGAGCCACAACTACTGAGCCCGCGTGCCACAACTGCTGAAGCCGACGTGCCTAGAGCCCGTGCTCTGCAATGAGAGAAGCCACCACAGTGAGAAGCCCGCATACCACAACGAAGAGTAGCCCCTGCTTGCCGCAACTAGAGAAAGCCCGCGCGCAGCAATGAAGACCCAATGCAGCCAAAAATAAATAAAATAAAATAAATTTTAAAAAACAAAAACCTAATGTGAGAAACAGTTAAGGTATATGGTGGTAAATGGCCAATGCCAGAGTTGGAGCAGTGGAATAACCATATGTAGTAATAGTCCTTTAAACTCTTGGGAAGTTTATTAGTAGAGAAAATCACTTCAAAGGAAAATAAAGTTGGTGTGTATCTTACGATCTTGAATATCTTAAGAGCTTGTGATCTTATCGTAAATATCAGTATAAGAAATGATTTGACAGGCCAGGAGGATGCCTTCACCAACTTGCTGTGTCCTCTCCTCCCGCTTCCCGTGCCCTGTCTCCACTGGTTTAATCTGGAGGAATAAACCAGACTGTGTCATTCCTCCCACGGTCACGTGCTCCTGGGAGCAGGCCGTGCTGGGGCCTGTGTGATGTTAATTAAAGCATTTTGTGACCTAGTCCTTCAGGGAAGACATGCACAGGTGCTGTCTCAATAAACTGAACAAGCAGTATTAAATAACAGAAGTAATACAGTGAGTGATTTTAAAACAAGCAATGGACGTCCAAGCCCCTACTGTTTGCGGTTTAATAAGTAATCCTAACACAGAGGGGATAGAGTCCTTCTCCATTCCATCATGGTGACTGTTGAAGTGAGACTAGACATTAGTAACTAGAGCAACACTGGAGATGACACATGAAATGATACCTACAACCCCTAAACTCAACTTCAGGACCAGCTGAGTGTAACAGGCCCTACAACAGGGAGCAGGAGAGTACCCCGTTGGGCAGAGAACGCTTCACAGAGATCGTAGCTCAGGACGGCAACAGGGCTCAAGTCTTTTCCTGTAAAGGAGTGTTTCTCAGCCTTGGCTGCAGGGTAGAATCACCTAGGGAACTTTTTTAAAAACACTGATGCCTGACTCCTACCCTCAGGGATCCAGATTCAAATGGTTTGGCATGAAACCTTGTGATCAGTGATTAGGATCCTTAGGAGTTCTAATATGCAGCAGGGGTTAAGAACCACTGCCATACAGAAAAGGAGGGACAGGATAGGCTGGTTCAAACAGCTAAGCCATTACGCCCTGGAGCTAAAGACTAAGGCTCTGATCAGCCACACCCACTCATTTGAGGGTACTCATCCAGGTAGCTGTGGCTTGAGAAATGTAATTTACACATAAAAGATCAAACAGATACACATAGTGTGTCTCCAGCAAGTATATTGGCTAAAATCAAATCATGTTTGTCCTATAACCCAAAACAAGTCTTAGGAGATACCTATATATATCTATATGATTAATATAATGTAATATATAATGTATAAATGTATATAACAAGTAATAACGTTATGAATATATGTATATTCTTGAAACATTCTTAGTAAATTCATCAATAAATTGCCTATTTCTTTGCAATAAGGCTAAAACATTCGTGATAAAGAAAGATTTCAAGAGAATTTTTAACAGCAAGTGAGAGTCTGTGAGTAAAGAAACAGAAAATATTTCAGACACGGGGCACAGACGTCTGATAATGAGGGTCTGAATGACTAAAGAAAATATTTAATAGTTTGTTTTCAAATTAATCTTCCTTTGGAAATAATCTCTCTTGCAAGGTGATTTTTTTCACCATTTATTTAGAACCTGTGTATCTCTTAAGATGATGCCTCATTTCTAAGGTGGAAAACACAAAAACCTCAAACAAGTATAACATGGAACCCCTCTGTAAGGTTAAATTAATACTTTTTGTTCTTTTTTTACATTAATGTATTTTATCATTATCAAGAATTGAAAATCATTGAGCCTTCTCTGCACATGCAGGATCACCCTAAGTATAGTCAAAATTCTGTCTCTTTTCTGTTATTTGATCTCTAAAATAACTTCTAAAAGATGGTTGGGAATCCATTCAGAATCAAAGTCAGGATGGGCAGTGTTACAATAAAGAAAACTTGGTTGTGGTTACCAAAGGGGAAAGGTGTGGGGGAGGGATAAATTAGGAGGTTGGGATTAACATACACACACTACTATATATAAAATAATCAACAAGGACCTACTGTATAGCACAGGGAACTCTACTCATAGTCTGTAATAACCTAGATGGGAAAAGAATCTGAAAAAGAATGGATATATGTATATGTATAACTAAATCACTTTGCTGTACACCTGAAACTAACACAACACTGTAAATCAACTTCACTCCAATATAAAATTAAAATTTTTTAAAAATAAAGACAACATGGCAGTATCTATGATTGAAGTCTGATTGTTGTGTCACATATTACCTTCACAGTGTCCATGTGAGGTTTACATGAACTTCAGTGTTCCTGTTTCAAAGAAAGAAAAACTAAAGATGCACAGTAGATCAAGAATAAGACAATCACACGTTGGCTTTCATGTGAATGTTGCTGTTGAATTTAGATGACTGTTAGATAACAGAAAGACCCATCAAAGAAGCCATCTGGAAGATGTGCTTACCACCCGTCTGATTTGACCATGTTAACTTCAGGGTCCTCATCTCAAACACGGTAATAGTGCCTATTTTACAGCATTGTTGTGAAGTTTTAGTGAGATAAGAATGTTAAGTGTGGAGTATAATAAGTGCTCAATAAATGGAAGTTACTATCAATCTTAATAATTGTATTTTTTGTTATCAACAGGATCCAGTTGATGTTCAAATTGACAGGCTCCTGGATCAGAACTAACCTTTAAATGGTAGCAATAAAAGAAGCTTTGTAAAGGTAGGTGCCATAGTTTTTATTGTGAATGATTGAATGGATTATAATATATATTCTGCTGGAGAGGGCAATTCTTTGAGTTTCCACATAAGCTTATCTGGAGGTTGGAATATGAGAGACAAAGAGGAAGCTGCTGTTATGATAGCATGGTGGCTGTCCTGGGAACTAGAGCCTTGAGGAGAGGGGCAGAATCAGAGAGTTAGTGCTAGGAAGTTTCTTAAAGATCTTCTGGTACGGACATCTTCATTATTTTTTAAACAGATGAAAACTCTGAATCTGAGCTAAAAAATGTACCTAAAATCCTAGTGCTATTTCACGGTATAGACAGGGTTAGAACCCAGATCTCTAGATTTTTTCCATCATTCATTCAACTAAATCATTCTTTTCTTTTTATAAATTTTTGTCTATAATTAATTGCTTTCCAAGCTTAGCATTTCTAGGTTAAATTATTTACAGTCTTGCAGCTTTACTTTCTGTGTCTTTAATATACCTTATCTATCCTATGAAAACTTGGGTCCTCTCTGTGGGGATCAGTTTATCACCACAAGAGGTGCTGAGGTAATAGGATCAAACCAGTCCCACTAGAAGAAATATGGAATGGGGAGACCTCATGTCCTTGGTATGAAACTTCCAGGTCATATTTTAATTGTAAATTCCAATGAAATTACATTATATATTTTCATATACAAGAAGACATTGGGAAACACCTAGACCAGATATGCTTAGAGGTTTCAGTATGTCTATTCACTATCCAACACCAAGGATATAAGAGATTATAATTTTGATTTAATGTGAAAATGGAAAGTGGTAGATAGGTTAGGAAATGAAGAAAAATTTAATACACTATGATATTCATTGACAGCTTACAAATTAATTTTCCAAATCCAATATCATCTGTTCCTCAGTTCCATTAAGGTAGGCAGTGCAATTTTCATCAGAGAAGTTCAGTGATTTACCTAAAGTAACACAGCTCCAAGCTAGGACTCTAGCACCTTAAGAGTGGTTTGACTCTAGCACAGTGTTCTTGCTAACATACTACTACCAGAATTGTTTGGAGCACTTTGATTTCTGGAATAAAAATGAAATTTTAAAAAATGAAATAAGTGTAGCGCTTTGAGGTTTTAAGAAATGATTTCCTTTTGCACTTTCAACAGAAACTGTATAGGCAGAGTGCAGAGAGGAAACCAAAACTGGAAAAAGAATCTTAAAAGGTCGAATGGTTTGATAGGGCAGCCAAGGAAGCCATCTCAATTTTAGTATGTTCTTGATATATGGATCTAAACACAATCTGAAAAGACTAACCTAATATATTTTTGACCCAGAGTTGACCCAAACCCAATCTTAACTTGCAAAAGGAGGAAAGCTGAAGTTGGTTTGAGGCCATCAATCTTGTGGCATGTCTTAGATGGAAGACGTCAGCAAACTAGCCAAGAAAAGGATTACTGACCAAAAGTGAAGGAAGACCGCTAACAGGTAGGAGATGTACATAAAAGAGTGTGAGTTTAAATATAATGAAGATCCTTTACATTGGAAAAATTCTCTGTATATGAACTGTCTGTGTTTACATGCACACACACAGTAATATCTTTTTTTTTTCCAACCAAGATAGTCTGAAATTTACATGGAAAACCAGTGCAGGAAACACTGGAAGATGGAAAACAATGGAATATTGAGGAATGGCCTACCTTCTCTCATGAGGAATCTAAAAATACAAAATGTAACTGCCTGTATTCTTCAGCGTTCTCCAGAGAAACAGAACTAAACGGATGTGTGTACGTAAAACTATATTACATATATACACATATACCTATATCTATATAGAGAGAGAGATTGATTTTTTTATTGGGGTTATAATTGACATATAACATTATATTAGTTTCAGGTGTACAACACGAGTCAATATTTGTATATATTGTATATATTTGTATATATTGTTAATAAATCTAATTAACATCCAGCCACACCTAGTTACAAATTGTTTTTTCTTGTGATGATTAACTTTCAAGGTTTCCTCTCTTAGAAATATACAATAGAGTATTATTAACTATAGTCACCATGCTGTACATTACATCCCCAGGACTTATGTGAGATTGATTCATTATAAGGAATTGGCTGACTGGCTCACGCAACTGCGGAGGCTAACAAATCCCAAGATCTGTAAGGTGAGTTGCCAAACTGGAGACCCAGAAGAGTTGATGGTTTATTTTGAGTGCTTGGGGGAGGGTCAGCCTTTTGGTTCTATTCTGGCCTTCAGCTGACTTGAAAGGCCCACCCACAGTAGGGAGGGTAATCTGCTTCACTCAGTTCACCAACTTAAATGCTAATTCATCCAAAAACACCCTCCAGAAACACTAAGTGGAATGTGGACCTTCAGTGTTATTTCCTTTTGGAAAAAAAATGTTCATAACAATAATGTGGCAAAAATACTTATATGATGCCATTAAGTCAAGTGTCTTTGCAAAGGACAAGGACATCCAAGAAGAGAAATCCAAAACTAAGTTTAGGCTACATGAAAAACCAAACAGGTACGTAATCCAGTTGACTTGAACTGAGAGTAAAAGAAACAGGGTAGACATTCTACTCCTGCCGTGGCTTGGGGCATATATATGGAAGGGTTTGTATTGCCATAGAAATATATGTGAGTGTATCAAAATTGACTCTTGAATTTTTTCTTGATTATTCCTCCACTGGCAGATGAGGCACACATAAAGTAGAATCAAGGCTTTCTTTACCTTTAGAATAGTTCTGACAATTGCCATTTTCTTGGGAAAAGCACTGAAAAGCATTGTGTGTAATTAGCACTTTTTAAAAGAAGCTGAGCAGGTAAAAATCAAAACAAACAAAAATGTAAGAAGGCTTTAGAAGTAGTTACCTAAGTGTGATTTTCAAGAGCTCATTTTTAGGGCTTCCCTGGTGGCACAGTGGTTGAGAGTCTGCCTGCCGATGCAGGGGACACAGGTTCGTGCCCCGGTCTGGGAAGATCCCACATGCCACGGAGCAGCTGGGCCCGTGAGCCACGGCCTCTGAGTCTACGCGTCCGGAGCCTGTGCTTCGCCACGGGAGAGGCCACAACAGTGCTTCGCCACGGGAGAGGCCACAACAGTGAGAGGCCCGTGTACCGCAAAAAAAAAAAAAAAAAATTCATTTTTAAACTCCTGACACAATACACATAAGAGTTTTCTGATATTTTCTCCTATGTATTATGCAGTCAGACACTGAATATACTTTACCATCAAATTCCTAATATGAATACAATAATATATAGATACATTTCAAAACACTTTCAGATCCATTAATGTATTTGATTCTTACAAAATGGCTCTGATGTTGATAGAATAAGTGTCTTATCTCCAATTTACAGATGAAAAAACTGAGACACAGTTCTGGATAATGTATTTCTTAATGTTACACAAAAACGGAGTGGCAGGCAGATCTAAAAAGGAATTAGACTTTCTAACTTTCCTACCACAATCCCATAAATAACTCCATGGTTTTCACATGATTTCTGTATAGATCATTCTGAGGGGTTTTTTTGTTGTTTTATAAGAGGAGGTGATATATTTTTTCCCCCTTCTGATTTTGCATGGGCTGAACAACTCAATTATATCTGGATCACAGGGATCTACCATTTTGTAGCTGTCTGGCATCCTCTTGTCCCCCCCGTGCCTGAGAGGAAAGCCTGATGCATTAGCTCTGCTCTTTCCTTCTGTTGCTTAAGCAATGAAGAAAACATTACCCTAATCACACTCAGTGTGTGCTATCTCCAGGCACAGCTGTTGTGTAGTCTTTCCAAGCTCAGCCATTAAGGAGTCTTACCAATGAGAGCCCAGTGAGAGCTGCAACGCCAGACACTTGCCCTCTAATAACATACATTTCTGCTTTCCTAGCTAATTCCCAGGAAAGAGAGCCTGTTGGGCAAGGTTTCACAGTCACCTTTTATTGTCACCTTCCCTCCTCCCTTTGAGGGGCAGTTTGTGAGCCAACTCCCAAGCATAGCCCATGGAGCAAAAGATTAAGCATGGCTTGGAGTCAGCCTCTTTATCAAATGAGCCCATAGAGTTTGAGCAAAAGCAAGCCTCAAAGAGACAGATCTGCTTTGGCAACTGGCGCACCAGTGAAGATGACCGTAGGAGAAGCAATTGGTATCGGAGGCTAAAAATGGCAAATGGTTATGGCTGCCGTGGAATACAACAGTGTCAAGGTGTCTCCTCCTGCCTAGTAAAGTAATTGGAACTGATTGTTCCTGGGCTTTGAAGATCATGCTACCGACCTGCTATGGGTAGGAATGGAGTTTTCTGGAAGTGGGAATCGGTGATGAGATTATGAGATATTTATAAAAAACTTGGTTTACAAAACACACTCACTTCTATGAACTTCTTTGAAGGTATAATGGCAAAAATATGGGTTTTCAGTCAGAGATCTCAATTCAAATCCCAGCTCTGCTCTTTACTAGTTGTGTTACCTAGAACTAATTATTAATGCTCTTTTAACACAAAAGTTTCTCTGTCTATAAACTGGAGGGTAATCATGCCCACCTTCCTAAAGTCATTGTTTGGATTAAAATCCATATGTAATTTAAGTGTTATATCTAAATCCCACACTTATTAGAATATAGAGCTTCTCATTAAATGGCGACCTTATGACTTAGCAAGAGCCGTGTGATTTAGGATGATTGTCATTCTATCAGCGAGAAGATGGAGGCTCAGATTTCAGTGAATTGCCCAGGATCCAGAGCTGGAAGAAAAAAAAACCAAGACCCAAACACATCACTCAAATATATAAACAATTAGTTCCATCTCTCCAGAACTCAGAAATTGGACAGATAACCAAAAATTTTTAAAAGCCTCCAGTTCTTTGCCTTGGCTTTTTTCTCTGAATTGCATGAGATTTTAGTCCTTAATTGAATGTGCTTACTATTAAAGAGGTATCAATACATTGGAGGGATGATGATGTAATTGGCCATGAGTAGTAGAAGAAGGAAGGGAAATTAGGGGAGGGGGGATGACATAGGAATCAAATATATCCTGCACTCACTTAAATTATTTCATAGAACAAGCTTAAGATAAATGAATAGAGACATAGTTCTTAGATTGAGAAAAAGTATAAGGAAGGACTGAACACATCATCTATAGAGAGGGGATGTGGACATAATATGTGGTTCATCTACCTGAATCAGGAGGAGAAGAATTATATGGAAAAGGGTTAGAAATAGTTATTCACCTCTGTACCTTAGACCTAGTTAGCTTTTGTACAGCCTTGTTACCATCCATTGACAAGCGGAGATAGGACAGACTGTAATTAAACTATTAAACTCTTGTGATACACTTTTTGAAGGGTTAGATCCCTTGAGCATATCAGAAGTCTCTTTCTGGAGAGAATCACTGCGGGATCCATTAGGCTGACAGAACCTTTTTCCTAGATTCCGCCCTCCTGAGTTCTTGTCATGACTGAACTACCTTGCCACAGCCTTGTCCCCTTAGTGTCCAAGGACAGTAGGAGCCTCACAATGTACCAGACTCTGTTTTAAGCACTTTAGATTCTCAGATAATCCTAGGTGGTAATACTAATGATATCCCATAATGAAACAATGAAAGTGAAGCACAGAGAAGTTAAGCAATTTGCCTAGTGTCTCACCACCAGAAAACAATGGAATTGGCACTTGAACTCATGAACTCTACCTCTAAGGCACACGCTTATACCCAGGACAATGTATCTCATGCCAGTTCTTCTCATACTATCTATGGTCAGAGGTTTATTTTGTTTTATAACATATTGTGAGCAAATACTTTTATAAACTACACTAAAAATCAGTAGAAAAATGAAGTTAAAAGATATCCAGACTGGAACTCAAATTCTTAAATTACCATTAGATTCAACATGCATGCAGTTACTCTGTAAATTGCTATAAAAATTTCTAAGTGCTTTCTCAATGCTTACTGTCACTTTCTTTATGTACCATGGACCATTAGTGCCCTCCCCTCCCCCCCCCGAAAAAAAACCCAACACACTTTGAGTGGCACTGCTGTAGGCTTAGGGGACAGGGGGTGGGCACATTTTGTATCACTGAAATGAGTGAAGTTGGCAACAAGGTCAACTCTGAAGCCACAAACCCCTAGGCCTGTGTTCTCTAATCACCTAACTTAACCAGTCATCTACCCTGATTGAGAAATTACAGATGGAGGGGCCCTTCAGAATGGAAATTAGGACTTACCCCATGCCATACTGAAGGGAGCTAAATGGTCCATGCATTAACTTACAAAACAACTCTTGAAAAATTTCTTTCTTTAAGAACTAGCAATCTTCTTTCCCCCAATTGCTCTTGTATCTTAATATGAATTTCCTATTTCCTTACGTTTTCTTATGGCCAAAAGTGTTTGACACATTTCCTGAAAAATAAAAGATATCCAATGAATGTTTGTGATCGAAAATTCACATTTATTTCAATAAATACTATTTATATTAAAACTCCAGGGAAGAATGACACCATATGTATACTACACAAGTCTGAAATGATGACACACTCCCTATCTGGAGCTGTAGTACTAAAAGGAAAATATTATAGACAAACATTTTTTTCATTATTGAAGTATAATTGACCTACAGTACTGTGTTAGTTCCAGGTACACAACAAAGTGACTCAATATTTCTACACTTTACAAAATGATTACCACTATAGCCAAACATTTAAAGTGACAATTTATTCAAATGAAGTTGGGGGGAGTAAGAAGAAAAGAGTTAAATTCAGAAGTGTTTACTACTTTGCATTATTAAAGAATTCACATATTTTAATATTCATGCTATAAACCTAATGTTCTTGTTATTATAACTTGGAGGCTTTAAGCCCTATGCATGATTGCTCACATAATAAAGACTGCCTTCATAATAAAGTTTTGTATAAATGTCTTTAAATCAAGAGCACCACGTTTCATGTTAGTCTTCAAAAATACAATTAGTCATTATTTTTCTAACAATTCATAAATGTGACTCACATAATGAGAGCATGCAGTTCGTCACTTGTGGAGACCAATAAATCAATCTCAGCACCTATTAAATACTGAAAGCTTTCCTAGGTACGACTGGGTAGGGATGGTAAGCGGGTAAAAAAGGAATATAAAACTGAATTCTGCTCAAGTAGGGTATAGGTTAGTTGGGAACACATGAAACAATGAGGCAGTAGTCATCCTCTCTTTGTAGAGTGGGGCTCTGTTCCAACCTCGGCACCCACCCATCCTGAAAGCAGACAATGAGAGAAGAATGCCTAGGCTTTCATTAAATGTTACATCATTCAGTCCACGCCACAAGGCTTGAGGCGATGGAGCATAAGCAAATGCTGCATTACCATTGTCAGTATCTCTTCTGTTTCTTAGCTATCGGAGTTTTAAACTTATCAGAAATTTTGGAGATCTTTAGCCTAACTTCCCTCCCAGAGAAGACAGGACTTTGAAGCAGCTTCTGGAAGGTAAGGTACATTGACCCCTCTTCTCCCTCTTCCTTGCTTTTCCTGCTAATATAAGGTGACCGGCAGAGTTTAGGAAACCTTTGGGTCTATAAAACACTGCAGTCTACATTGCCCTCTCCCACCCACACCAGATTCAAACCATAAAATTCACCTCCTTTTAGAGTTAGACTTTAACCTAGTCTATGTATCAGAGTCATAACAGTCTCACCCTATTTCTCATAACCACTAAAACAATTGGGGACTTGCCTGGTGGTCCAGTGGTTAAGAGTGTGCTTCCAATGCAGGGAGCCTAGGTTTGATTCCTGGTGAAGGAACTAGATCCCGCATGCCTCAACTAACGATCCCACATGCCACACTAAAAGATTACGTGTGCCGCAGCTAAGACCTGGCGCAGCCAAATAAATGAATGAATATTAAAAAAAAAAATTTGAAAAAACTCACGGTTTCTTGGAACAATAGGCACTTGTTTTTGGCTGCGTTGGGTCTTTGTTGCTACACACAGGCTTTCTCTACTTGCGGCAAGCAGGAGCTACTCTTTGTTGTGGTGCACGGGCTTCTCATTGTGGTGGCTTCTCTTGTTGCAGAGCACGGGCTCTAGGCGCGCGGGCTCAGTAGTTGTGGCTCGCGGGCTCTAGAGCACAGGCTCAGAAGTTGTGGTGCACGTGGGATCTTCCGGGACCAGGGATGGAACCCATGTCCCCTGCCATTGGCAGGTGGATTCTTAACCACTGCGCCACCAAGGAGGTCCCAATAGGCACATTTCTGAAACTTCTCTTCAAGGAATGTAAGTATTCCTCTCTAGGTTTACTTTCTGAAGTATTTAGTTTTGTCTTTTCAGACAAAACTTTGTCTGCCTCTTGGAAAAAATTTTCTATCATCGCCTGTTTAGATGACTCTTACTTCAAGCCAGACTGAATCATCCTGTTCCTGATGTGATGAGTGGACTTGAAAGGGAGCAGGGACAAAGAAATGTTGCACAGTGATGACTAAACAGAACAGGAAAGTTACACAAAAGTTTATCTCACAACAGGCACACTTTAACGTGGGCATACTTTGAAGAAGAGAGGAGAAATACTCCTACTGATAAAGCTGGTTGGGAGATGAATTATCCAGTAGGCTAGGCTATTCTGTTAAATACTTAAACTCCCAAGTCTTAGAGAGTGTGTGTGAAAGTAGCTTACTTTTCCCTTCTGTGAAGTTAAGTGTGAAACCTGGCAATTCCTTGCCAAGTAGTGACTCCGGGATTTGGGATCTTTCCACTTTATGGCACTGTTAGCACCCAGGGGAAACTTCCTCAGGGTCCAGGAAAAACTTAAGACCTCATGACTTAAGGCATCCTTGAATGTAATGAATTAACTTCTCTCCTATGCATCTAGAATACATCTACTAACTAGAGTACATCTATTAAATAACCATCCTGGGAATAACTAAGGAAATAGTCACACAAATAATTTTCTGTGGATTTAACTTGCTCATGAAGCTGAATCCAGCCTCTGTACCCTGACACTGAATTAATTTTCAGAGACAGAGTTTTGGATGAAGTAGGAAAGAATAGCTTATTGCTTTGCCAGGTAAAAGGGGCCACAGCAGGCTAATGCCCTCAAAACTGTGTCCTGACCTGGAGAGGGTAGTGAGGAGTTTTATAGTAGCGGTTCAAAGAGGGCGTGATCAGCTCGTGGACGTTCTTCTGATTGGCTGGTGGTGAGGTAAGTGGGAGTCCGCATCCTCAACCTGGTTCCAACCCATCTTGGGTCTCTGTGTTTGTGGGCAGCACACAGTTAACTTCTCCCACCTGGCAGGGGTTTCAGTATCTGCAAAACAGCTCAAGATATTGTTGTGTGTATCCCTTGAGGGGGAACCAGGACCCTGCCCCAAGGCTGCACTATTTTTTCTTGACTCTTCCTCCCTTGTCTCTGCATCCCCTCCCTTCCCTAATTAGCACCTGTTTGAACCTGCTCCTTGTAACTGAGGGAAGATCGCGGAGGCTGAATGAAGCCTATTTCCTCGCAATCAAGAAACGGGGACACAGAAAGGCTTTTGTGCCCAGGAGCCCCACAGGGCCCTGCTGAGTGTCAGTACCATTGCACCATAGGAGGTGCTCTAGCAGCTCGAAGCCTTAAGTAGCCGTGACAATAGAGGTGCCAGCCCAGAGTCTTAACAGAAGAGGGGGGACACCAGACAGGAAGAGTAGGGTCCTCCAGACCAGGGTTTGGGTGTAGGCACTTGGTCTGGGTTCAGGCAGACCATGGCAGAAAGGAGAGAGCTTCTCCCTTCTGTGACACATTATACAGTATCTTCCCCTGCATCACAGTTCTCCCAAGTGCGCTTTCCACTTCCCAGAACCTTTGGTAAAAGGTTTTGTTTATCCCTTCTCAGTCGATGAAATTTCATTGTCCCACTAAAGCATCTAATTCCCCAAGGGAGCCTTTCCTCCAAGCTTTAGTGCACTCTGGTTAACTCCCCAAACCCTCAATCTCAAGTGCCAGCCATGTGCTACTAACCACTGAACAGAGACTTCCCAGGGCAACACAGAATAGGTTTTTATTGCTTCACACCTCCCACCCCTTCCCCAAGAAAGAAAAAAAAAATTCTACATCTTTACTGCTAAAAGGCTGAAAAGATTGGAGAGGTTAGAGACAGAAAGATCACCTCACCTTACTGGATTTATCTTGCACTTTTTTGTCCTCTAAGAGTTCCAGTTACTCTGTAGTCATGGATTTAGTTAACATTTAAAGTGCCCCTTTGTTGTCATGTATACACTACTATGTATAGAATAGATAGCTAATGAGAAACTACTGTATAGCACAGGGAACTCCACTCAGTGCTCTGTGGTGACCTAAATGGGAAGGAAATCTAAAAAAAGAGGAGGTATATGTATAACTGACTCATTTTGCTGCACAGCACAAACTAACACAACATCGTAAAAGCAACTATACTTCAATAAAAATTAATAAAAAATAAAGTGTCCCCTTTGACAGGAGAATGAAGGCGATGAAGAAATGATTTATAATCCACCTTCCATGGAGGAAAGACGACGTGGACACAGTTTTAGAGAGCAGGCATCCTCCTGGACACATTCAGGTATGTTTCTGCCTGGGAGACAAATAAGAGAGTCCATTGCCTACGACAACTGCTATTTCCTCAATGGACCATTCTTTCCCCTTCTCTTATAAAAGTGTACCCATCCTTCAAGACTCAAGGCAAATGCCTCCTCCACCTTCTCCCCCCATCCTCTTGCAACTTTCATGGCACTTAATTCTTTCTTCAAGCAGACTTGAGCCCCTACCACCTTAGGAAGCTTTCAGGAATAACATTTGTGTCTGATTCATTTCTGTACACCTTGTAGGGACTGGCACAAATTGAAAGCTTAATAAATATTTTGAGATGATTCAAGCCCGTGTCAGCCTGAAATGAGAGTGAGCAATCAGATCCACAACATAGATGTATCACAGGAGAAAAGGTGAATTTGAAAAAGACAGTTCTAGGACATACATGAAATTCAAATGGAATTATATATCTTGATCCTCACTGTGAATGCTTTTTTTCCCAAAGAGAAAAGTTACACATTTCTACAGTAAAATATTTGCTTGAGTATCAAAATGTATAGAGAAGTATTTATTTTTATCTCCTAGTCCATAACGTATCCAAAATATCTTACTAGTCCTGTAGATTTTTAGTAATAGCTGAGGGCCTTCACTACAGTGGGTACCTAAGGATTATCAAGTGGACGAACCTAGACACAGGTAAGAGATAGGATGATGGTACACATGATCTTCCAGGTGTGCGTTTAAAGCCAAGTCTTTTCTTCCACATTTACAAATGTCACAAAATTTTACTGACTCCTGACTAGATGCAGGTATTTGATGATAAACAGTTCAGGATTCACGATGATGAATAAGCCCTACTTTAAAGATCTTCTATTCTATTGAAGAGTGAACAAATAGAAAAATAATAACAATGTACAGTGGGATATAATGCATTTCATATGAATCATTGAAACAAAATATTGAGGGGTCAAAGGAGAAATCACATCTGTTCGGATGAATCAGATAAAAGATCATAGAGGTGGCTTTTGAGAAAGACCTTGAAACAATAGAATTTGATGGCAAAGTAAAGTGATTAGAAATAGGAAACAGTTAACAAAGGGACCAGCAACAGAGAATTCAGGCACGTGATGAAAGGGTTTTCATCCTCCCAAGGAATTTTTGTGGCAAAAGAATGTCATTTTGTTGAATATACTTGGATGGGTGGTTTTTCCTCAACTTTATTCAGATATTATTTTCTTTAATTGACGCAGTGTAAGTGAGACTGTGTGAGGGATGTTGTGTGTGTGTGTGCACGTGCACACACGCGTGTTCCTGTGGGTAGGTATGTATTAGCTGAATTGCAGTGCCTTTTATGATTTTAATCTAAGAGCAACTCTGCCCAAGAATCACTGGCTTCAGGAACGTGACTGTGTGTTTGCTTCCTTTGCTAGTTTCCACCATCTCTATCTTGATATTTTCCTTCTCCTTGAAAAACGATTGTTGTCTCTGCCTCTTATTTCTCTGCAGTTTGGGAGGTTAATATCTGTTTGGTTTCTCCCAAACTTCACTTCCAGCCTTTCCTTTGGATTTTCACTCTTGATCTTATCTCCCTACATTCACTGTCATCCTGAACTGGGAAACCAGGAATGCAATTATCACACAAAAATCAAATACCAATTGATGTGGCAAAAGATAACTTTTGGCACGTGTAAATTGGGGGACTAAATTTATTTTCTTGATTGAATCGAAAAATTTCCTGTATCAGACATTTTTATTATACAACTAGACGTATCTTCCACACATAAGCAAAACTTTCCTGTGCTGACCCTGTTATATTTAAGATATGGAACAAAAATAAACTAACAGATAATAATTTGTGCTTTGGAAGTATAAACGGAACCATAGTTTGTTATTATTTCCCAGTTTATTCTCAGTTCTCTAATCTCTGGTAGTATAAATATGGATGCATTATGAAATCATTCCTAATAAACTGGGATATGTTTTAAATCCATACCAGTCCTGCCCTCTGTCACAGCTGTGATTTTAGCATGCATAAAAGAAAAAAAAATCAATGTTTGATTCATTCCTGTTTGGTCTCTTTTGCAACCTGAACTTACATATTAATTAATCATGATGATGATGGTACATTATACTTATTTTAAAATACAGAAAACACAGCAACCAGCTACAGGAATTCTTCTACAGGAATTTCTTCTGCAACTGCTCCTTCCCTCAGGCCATATAGCCTACTGCCTCACCATCTGTTACCATCCCTTTTCTTCATTGCCTCATTCCCCTGTCCTTTTTCCAGCCTCCTCTGCCTTCATTCTTTGCCAGGCATTTAACATGAGGCCCTCACAAAGAAAACAAGTTTAAGAGAGAAGGAGATAAATCCTGCAGTTTCATAAAGGTGGTGGTGGTTTGCTGCACTTAGGTAAAAAAATTAATTTTCTCTGTGCACCCACCACTGTTGTCTGTTTTAGCAGATAAGCTTCTTGTGAGCAGGGACCATGTTTTTCTTAATTAGGTATAGACTTCTTAAAAGCTTTTCATCCTGGACCAAGGTCTCAAGGTCCCTATTGGTGCTCAATAAATATTAAACACAGACAGTCATTGTCTAATGGCATTTATTAAACATCGCTTTGCACATATTTCTGTTCAGAGAAAGGTTCAGCAGCCAAAAGTCCTGCCTGCTAGGAATTTATGCTGAAAAACGGACAGCACTGATGCAGCATGGCATTAAACCAATAAAATGAAGGAAACATTTTACATTGTGTTTATATACACAAATAATTGACAGAGTTTTCTCAAGTAAATATTCATATTCTTTGTTTTGATTGGCTTTCAATCAAATCAGCTATCATTTGAGTGCTGAGTCTCAAGTCCTCTGTCAAGTTCAGAGAAATATGGAACAGACTCCTTCCATAAGAGACATCACAACTTATTCATAATTACTTAAATTTCTATATTTATAAATAAGTTAACCGCTTGCATAAATGCTCTGACATGATGCAGTAAAAGTCACTTGAGCAGATGGTTTAAGTGGGGGCTAGGGTTTGAGTATTCTAAGGAAGTGTCCGGTGGATTTCTGCAGCTGTCCCTTATTAGACCTAAACATATTTTTTAAAAATATGAGTTATAATTCCTGAATCTGTAACTGAGAATGTCAGTCAGATATCTACCATCTCTCCACCACCATCTACAACATCCTTTTAAACCATAACTATCAAAGAAGGTAATTCCTAATCATTTTCTTTAAAAGATAGAAAGTATACCTTCATATGGCCCAGACTGGCATTCGATCCTGAGATGACTTTGGCACTTTATGAATGAAAAAACTGTTTACGTGGTACCATAGCCTTTAAATCATTCAGTAACCAAAAAGTCAGTAATATACTAACAGCAATTCATATCCAAAAAACATTTCCTATTGGGTAATGATCATTCATATATATATATATATATATATATATATGGTAAGTGAGGGCATCTTGCTCAGATATTTTTCTAAGGCTTTAATGTATTCATTGATTCCTAGAAATTAACAAAAAGCATTCACTCATTTATTCACCTATTCAGTTATTTCTTGAATACAGATTATATGCCATGCACTGTCCTTTGTACTATGTATACATTATTGAGCAAAACAGACACAATTTTTACCCTTATGAAGCTTTCATTCTAATTAGAGAAGCAAATGAAGCAGGAAAGGGGTGATAAGGAAGCTGGAACTGGGATTGCAATTTTAAAGAGAGTGTCAGAGAAGGCCCCACTGAGAAAGTGACATCTGAGCATTGATTTGAAGACAGGGAGCTAGCCACATGAGTATTTGAGAGAAAAATGTTCCAGGATGAGGCAAATGCATGTGGTAGGGGACCCTGCCTGGCGCATTTGAAGGACTCACTGCAAGAAACCAGTGAGACCAGAACAGAGTAAATACAAGTATAAATAGCAGGAGTCTATAGAAGGGGTTAGCAATATGAGGGGGGAGGGAAGGATGTGAAAGGATGGGTACACATTCCATAACCTCCGCAGGACTTTGGCTTTTACTCTGGGTGGAAGGGGAAGCCTTTGGAAGGTTTTGATTAGAGGTGGGATATAAGCTGACTTGGGTTTTAACACAGTCACTCAGGCTGTTTTGATATTGACATGAACAAGGGTAGGGACGGTGGAGGTAGTAAGAGGTAAGGACTATTTGTATCTATTTTGCAGGTAGAGCTAATAGTATTTGCTTATGAGAGGGAGAGAGAGACTCATCAAGGATGACTCCACATTTTGTGTTGCAGAGAACTAGAAGAATCAACCGCCATTCAGTGAAATGGGGCAGACAGAGAGGGGCAGTCTTTGATGGGAAGGTCAGGGCCTCTGTATTGGATATAATCAACTTGAGATGCCTAGTATACGTCACAAAGAAGATGCCAAGTAGACAGGTGGACATCTGAGTCTGGAGTTCAGGGAGGAGGTACAGCCTGGAAATATAAACTTGGGTGCTAGTAGCATACGTATGACATTTAAAGCCATGAGGTTTGATGAAATCACCAGAGGAGCAGGTATCAACAGAGAGTACGTTCATCATTTTAAAAATGTATGTGGTTGAATAACATATTACTTAGACTAAACTCAATTTCCTCAACTAGTACAGAAGCTAGTCAGCGTGACTTCTAAAAATTATAACACGTTATAGTCTGATCTATTTTAAGTATTGGCAGTTTACTATCAAAATTATTTATTTATACAATTATTTTGTTTTATGGCATTTTCTTTATTTGGGGGGAAATTCTACAATATTCTTGAGGTAGGCACACAAAGTTTTAGTCTAAAAAAAATGAGACATTAACATGAAGTTTCAAATTAAACACCAAAATTAGAGAAGGCCCTCATTGCATCTGGAAGGCACATGATAACTTTAATCATCCTCAGAAAAAGCTCCAGGCAAATTAAGATGTAAAAGTAGATGCACGGTTAGATTTTGTAATAGGTATGGGTTGACCAGAAAGTTAAGTAAAGCAACAGCTAACTGGTTGGAAAAATGGTT